CTACCTATTTTCTGTTTTGCTTAGTCTTTCTATAAATAAAATTTTAAAAAAAGAAAAGAGAAATATCAACTTTAAACCAAGACAATGGATATGCAAATAGAATTAGATATAGGGAAGGAGACATTAGAATTGATAACACTAGAAATACAAAGCATAGCTAGAAAATATTATAAACAACTATGCACTAACAATTTGAAAAATTAGAAAAAATTGGATAAATTTCTGATTAAGAATAAAATACCAAAATTGAACCATGAAGACTTAGGTTATCTAAACAGGCTAGTAACTAGTAATGAGATTGAATCAATAATGAAAAGGCTTCAACTAAGAAAATCCAGGACTGCAAGGCTTTGCTGCTAGACTCTATTGATCTTTTAAGGAAGAACTAGTATTTGTATTTTCAAAATATTCCAAATCCTCGACTGGAGGGATTTCTTCCAAACTTATTCTGTGAGACCCACACTTTTTGAAACCAGACAAACTAGGAGTTATTATCTCTAGTTAATATAGATGCAAAAATTTTCCACAAAATACTAGAAATCCAAATCCAAGAGTAAATCATGATCACACAGGATTTATCCTGGAGTTACAGGATGGGTCAACATATGGAAGTCAAAAAATGTAATATATTACATCAACAAAATGAAAATAAAAATCATATTATTTCAATGCAGTATACATAGAAAAGGCATTTGATAAAATTCAATATTCTTTTAAGATAGAAATCCCTGATTGAAATAGATATAGAAAGAATATACCTCAACACAAAGGCTGCATTTCAGAAACTCGCAACCAACATCATTATGAATGGCAAAGGCTGCAAGTTTTTCTTCTAAAAGAAAAGGATGTCCACTGTCACTACTTTATTTCAAAAAAATGCTGGCAGTCTTAGCTAAAAAAATTAGGCAAACTAAAGAAATAAAAGGCATACAAATGTGAAGAAAGGAAGTCAATTTATCCCTGTTTACATATGATACAATTCTGTCACTGTAAAACCTAAGGTTTACACCAAAAGACTATTGAAATAACAAACTGATTCAGTAAAACCAGGATACAAAATTAGCATATAAAAATCAGAAGCATTTTATATGTTAATAATAAGAGTGCTGAAGAACAAATCATGAAAGGAATACTATATTCACTATCCAAAAAACCTAAAAATAAATTTAACCAAGCACATGAACTTCATTATAGAAGTTTACAAAACTCCAATGAAAAATTTAAAGGTGACACGTGCAAAAATAGAAGCATCTCCTCTGGTCATGGATTGGAATAAATATTGTTAAAATGTCCATACTACACAGAGATATCTACAGATTCAACCTAATACCAATCAAAATACTAATGACATTCTTTACAGAACTAGAAAAAATTCTAAAATATATCCATAAGTAAGCAGAAAAGGCCCAAAATAGCCAAATCAATCTTCAATAGAAACAAACAGTCTGAATGAAGGTGTATCCCACTATCTGACTTCAAAATATACCACAAAACTCTAGTAATCAAAACAATGAAGTATTGACATAAAAATAGATACATAGACAACAGAACAGAATAGAGTGCCCTATGCATTTACAGTTAATTAATTCTTGTAAAAGATGCCAAAATCGTGCACTGCAGAAAACACTATCTAGGATATATAAAGAACTGAAAAACAACAAGCCCCCAAATTCAAAGATTCAATCCAAAAATGGACATCTGAGATTAATACACACTTCTCAGATCAAGAAATACAAATGGCAAATAAATATATGAAAAAATGTTCAACATCATTGGTCATTCAAGAAATGCAAAACTGAGGTATCATCTCCAGAAAGAATGGCTAACATCAAGAAATCAATAATAAATGCTGGCAAGGCTATGGGGGGAAAGGAACCCTTCTCCATCATTGTTGGGAGTGTAGACTGGTACAACCACTGAGGAAGTCAATATGGAGATTCCACCAAAAACTAGGATTAGAGGTTCCATTTGACCCAGCTATTCCCATTCTAGGTGTTTTCCTGGAAGAACTGAAAACATCATACCACAGTGACATATGTTCACCCATGTTTATAGCTGTACAATTTGCAATAGCCAGATCTTGGAAACAACCCAAATGCCCATCAATGAAGGAATGGATAAAAGCATATGGTATTTTTATACAATGGAGTGTTATCCAATCATAAAGAATGATAAACTCAAGACTTTTGAAGGTAAATGGATGCAACTAGGAACCATACTCATAAATGAAATAAATCAGAGTTGTATGTGCAAACACAATATTGTCTCACTAGTGTAAAAAACTAAAAGAGTAAATAAGATCCAAAAATTACAGTAGATATAACAGAAGGGAAAGGGACTGGTCAAAGGGAAATTATATTGTTTGATCAAACTTGCATGCCTATATCTGGTAGCATGAACATTACTTGTTAAATTTCTACATCTTGTTTTCAAATACTGTATCACCATTTTTGTGTTGTTGACATCATCATTTTGCTTTTTTATTGTTTTTGGTTTGTTTGCCTCTTGGTTTTTGCTTTTTTCTCTTTAGAATAAAAATATCCTTATGAAAGTATAATTGCTCCTTTTGCCTTAGAGTCCAAAAGTTAGTAATAGTTAGAACTATTTTCAAAATTTAAAAAAATGATTACAACTTTTCCTTCTGCTTGAAAATACCAGCCATTTGTATGAAGCAATGGAGCTGAGTAAGGTTACAACATTGCTGTTACTATGCACTAGAAAAAAATGTGAAGTGAGCTCAATATATTAGACATCTTGGACTTGTTAAACTTGGTTTTTATTCTCATCACTATTTCAGGTCGGTGGTGTTTATTATTCTCTTTTAAAACTGTACTTGCAGTTATACGTGTTTGATCAATAAAAAGAGGAAAAGGACTTAGGAGTCGCTGAGGTAGCTTCCTTGGCAGTCATGAGCTTTCAAGCTTTTGGGTCAATGACAGAGAAATAAGAAAAACATGAGGAAATAGGAAGTCCCCTAGATTGTCAACAGTGTACAAGTAAGGAAGGAAAAAAATCATTCCTAAAAGTAAAAGTTAATGGTGAAACGCACCCCAGGAAACTTTGAGAAGACCTGCACTGACTGACATTTTGATACGTAGCTCGTGCTGGTCCCGGCACTTTGCGCCTGCGCACTGAAGCAGTGTTATCTGTTTGCTCCCTTGGAACATCCCCTTTCTAACCGCTACTCCTCTCCAGCATTGTCTCCAGTTAGCAATGATGCTGAGAAACCTGGTTAATCAGGTGCAGAAAATTGTAAATTGACTTCTGTCTCTCATCCTATATAAAAATAAACTCAGAGTAGATCAAAGATTTAAGTGTGAGACATGAAACTATTAGGAAGAAACATAGGGAAGATACTACAAGATATCTGTATAGGCAGTGATTTTCTTGGATAAGAGCCCAAATACACAGAAAACCAAACCAAGAATAGATGAATGGTATTGTATTAAACTAAGAAACTTCTGTACAGGAAAGGAAACAAACAACAGAATAAGGAGATAACCCACAAGAGAGAAACTTTTTGTAAACTATTCATTTGACAAGGGGTAAAGATCTGGAACATGTCAGTTACTTTTAAAACTTCACTAACAGTAGTATGTAAGATACCCCATACTACATAAAGGAAAACAGTATGTGTTAATAAGAATGTTTTTAACGTTCAAGGAAAGGAAAATATTCTCCTGATTTGATCATCATATGCTATACAAATGTATTGAGTTATGACCCTGTATCTATAAATGTATACAATATTTTAAAAAGTTAATAAAGGAGAGGAAATAACAAGAACAAGCATCCACCACAATATACTTTTTCTCAGAAATAAAGTAATCATTGGCAACTATTTGGATGTATCCCCTGCAGCCCATTTTAGCTAGAATCAGAGGCATTGGAACAGGGATTTTACTATTCAGAATTTTCTGCATCTTTCCTCGAAGCAGAGCCCACTACAGGTGATATTTTGAAAAGGAACAAAGTCATGTCTCTTTTATATTCTCTCCCCTTTTATGCATCTAGGAACCTCCCTCAGGCTCTCAGTAAGCCTTTGCTGCTCCTGTTACCCATTCACCTTCCTTCCCTCCCCAACTCGTCCCTGGCAGAGTTAGGAAAACAATCTGACTTCATATAGCAGGTTATTGGAGTTTGTGTAGATTTGATATTCAGATTTTTGAAATTTTCAGAGGTCCTCTAGAGGTCCTTGATGCATTGTAATTTGCGATTTTATTTGTGTCATAAATTTAAGTCCCAAGTCACTTGGTACCAGTCACTCTGAGGAGGTCAGCTGAACACCCACACCTACATCTTTGTGATTATCATTTGTCAAGGGTACAATCATTTCTGAGAAATCTTGAAAAACAATGCTTCTTAATGAAATACACTTTCAACCTCTAGTGCTAGAAACAAATTTGAAAACTGCTGATTTACACTGCTTGTGGCCTATTTGAAGGGCACACTTGAAATTCTCAAGTGTGCTTCAAAGTGGGCTCATCTATTCACAAATTTATTTTTAAATGTCCTAAGTAGGAAGTTTGGGAGCTGGCAATACAAAAAGAGAGAGATGGCCTCTGTGATTGTGCGGCTGAAAGTCCATCAAGAAAGCCAGACATTAAGCAAGAAAATACAATAAAATGTTTAAGAGTCTCCAATAGAGAAAGCCCCGAGGACAGACGGTAGAGAACTGTGTCCCAAAGAGTAGTCCAAGAGCCAGTCATCTCTGTGAGAAAATCATGGGGACCCCAAGACCTGAAGAATATGTGGGGTGATCTAAACATGTTTCTAAAGCCTACTGATCTTGAGGTCTCTAACTTTAAAATAAAATAACCAGGGAAGAAAAATCATGCTGCCACATGATGCCAAAGTGATAGATACTCTCTATTTTTAAAATATGGTATAAAGACATACAGATTAATGTCAAATATAACTCGTTTGCTAGGGTGGTATATTATTTATTTAAATCAGAATGTCGTCATGGCCAGTGTTCTAAATGAGACTTTCTTTCTTAGCAGCCAAGAACTGTGACAATCCCAGATGATCATAAACTATCCTTTAAGAATTTTGTGAATCACAGGTAAGCTAAAGAAACAGGACTTAAACTCTGGCTAAACTTGCTTGGGGACACAGAGTCACAGATTAAGACAAGCAAGTAGGATGTTTAAGGAATGGACTTATTAGGTTTCATTTTCTCGTTAAACCAAAGAATCGGACTAAATAAAATTGTTTCAACTTCATTGAAACTATGGTAGAAAATAAAATCTTGTATCTTAAAATAAACAATGTATGGGAAAAGATAGATTTGGAAAACTTAAGTGATGACACAATAATTCATAAAATAGATAAGATCACACATTTATCTTGACTCCAAGATACCCTGTTACTTTTTGTAACTAAAATTTCTTTTATTTGTTTCTTCAGTTGTCATTGCTTGCTTTATTAACACCCGGTATGACAGAAATAAAATCAGTCAAAATTCATTAGCTGGCTTTTCAAAGGGGTTTTTCCCCTGTATTTAATTATCAGACACTAAAAAAGGATTTGACTTTTGCTTTATTAAAAACCCTGAACATGGACTCTGGATAAATCATCAGTGTATGTAACCTGCCTTGTCACAGATGACGGGAACATAGACCAAACAGTGATGTGATATAAGGCCAAAGTTTTTGCTCTGTATGCAGAAAGAAACAATGGGAGGGCAAAAATTGATATTTTAATAACCTTATCTTGCTCAGAAGTAGATGTTCTGATTCTTTTTATTACTTTAGCTTATTCCAAAGTCAGATGCTTTGAGACAATGTACCAAGCGTAGGTAACATCAGGAGGGAATACATAATTGGGCAGCACACATGCCACTACTGATGACATCTACCTATTTATACTCTATACTTTCAAAGAACTCTTACATGAGATCATGATAAAATTTCATTAAACACACTTTATGAACATTATGTACAAAACTAAACTACATAAAATCAAAGATTTCTGAGTAAAAGTTACTCTTTTGTAGATGGAAAATTTTGTCTTATTTTATTTATCTTGTAAGACTGGCACTTTAAAGAAAGTCTCATCCAAGAATCATTAGCTGGCTTTTATTTTAAATAATAGCTTTCATCTCTTTAAAACTAAGACTAAAAATTGAACTATTCTTAAAACCATGTCAGCACCAACCAAAAGCATTATTAGATTGGTCTTTTTTCTTTTTCTTTTTCTTTTCTTTCTTTCTTTTTTTCTTTCTTTCTTTCTTTCTTTTTCTTTCTTTCTTTCTTTCTTTCTCTTTCTCTTTCTCTCTTTCTCTTTCTTTCTCTTTTTCTTTGTGAAACTACTTCTATTTGAGACTTAAAACAAAGTGACCATAAGAAGAGGCCTTGTGCGGTTTGTGGCTCATAGAATCTGTCCTCCGTACTTTTTAAGTTTCACTACAAGTAGGCAGGTGGAATTGCCCCCACTGAAATAGTTGTCTGTTTGTTTTGTTTTTTAATGACTTTATTATGGCACTTGCAGGAATTAAAATAATGCATATTGGATGTAAGGAGTGAAGGAAAAAAGGATCAGGAAGGAAAAAAGATACAGGCATAGATATATTATTTGAATTATAGAACAGACAAATCTTACACTATGCAGTCTTGAAAATACTACCTGTTTGCCAGTATGGATAATAAAAGATTTTGCTTTGTGTTTTTCTCAGTCTCACTGAGTCCTCAAGTAGCAAATGAATAAAACAAACTTTAGATTAGCCATGTTTTTGGTAGCAAAGTAAAAATAATTTTGGGAGATCTTTGTGGACGAAGAAGAAAACATAAAATGAATTTAGAGCCTTTATTGGGCCCATCAAAGTTTACTGATTTGTCAGTCTTGAAAATTAAGCAATTTAGACCAATTAATCCAAAAAATGTTTTGGTCTCGTAGGCATTTTGGTTGAGGGTCACCTCCTTAGTTGTGACCATCAGCAAAAATAGAATGGGGTCAGAACATTTTCTCTAAAGTTGATAGATTCTAATCAAAACATTGTTTTTAAGGTTTTAAGGCCAGATTACTGACCTGAAAGAAGTACTGTTTTTTTCTAGAAATTGGAAAATTATTTTCTCAAATCTCCTATGTTCAAACCACACACGTTCTATAGTAGTATAAAAAATTTTTAATGTAGGTTTTATCAAGTCCTACCAATGCAAACATCACTAAGGAAAAAGACCTCGAGAATTAGTAGTCTTCTGCCCAGATAATCCACACTGCTGCACAGTGACCCAGTCATTGAACTCACAAGACCCTCTGTGTTTCAGAGTAGGCAAAGACACATTTCTTTTAGTCAAGCACTAGCCAATTGACTCATGTGGGGTTTTTTTGCTTCTTCCAATCAGAATGATGAGTCTTCATCAACCTAAAGCTAAGGCTATGCCTAAGCCTTCTGATGACATCCTAGCAGGTTTGTTTTCTGTTCAAGTACTTATGATGAGAGATATACCATCACTAGAATAGTACGATGGAATGTTTAATTCCTAAGATAATCTCTAAGTTTTCTGAATGAATTCCCATTTTGCATTAGTTTCTCTCATGCATTGCCTTTTCATGTGTGTGGATCCCTATGTCTCCTTCCTTTGAACCTCTCTTGCCATCATCTGTATGATGTGTTTTTCCAGGCTTTATCTCCCAGGCCAGATGGTTCTGACCAATAATTCACTTGCTGAAGGATTTCCATAGAGATGAGGCACAAACCAGATAAAAGTCCTTCACGGAGGGGCTGGGGATTTAGCTCAGTGGCATAAGCACCTGCCTTGAAAGCGCGCGGTCATCAGTTCGAAAAGTCCTTCACGGAGTCCTGAGTGTACTAGCCAAAGGGGAAAGGAAATTATATCACCACACCCCTGGAATGGCTTCACTGAGGCTGTGAACATTCACTAAAATAACCTGGGTTCCCTAAAATAACTGCTTTCTTCAAACAGTTCCACAATGATATTCTATAGAATACTGGTTCTTTCTTAATCTTCAGCATTGACTTAAATCACATCCTTTGGAGAAACCAACAATGGACCATTGAAGGTGGGAGTGGACCATTCTTTGGGCTGATCCAATGCAAAACCCTAGGTAGCCAAGACTATTTTGTCTTTTAATTTGCTCCCAAATGAACTGAAATCACATGAGATCTTTCTTTCATTAGATATATACAGTAAAGAAAGTCAAGATCATGTTATATGGGTATATACAGTAAAGAAAATCAAGATCATCTTATACAGATAAAGTCTAAGCTTTACTCTGGAAACTTGCAGAGGATTCAGAGAGAGAGTTGACACAGGAAAGCGTCTAGAATGGAAACTTGAGAATACATCAAGAGAATTGCAAAAGGGAGACTAGAGACTTAAGAAACAGCTGAGGCTTGGAGATATTCACTTCAGTATATATAGTGAAAGGCAATCCCTGAACATCACTTATGTATCCAAAAATATCAGCCGAGTTCGTTTAGCCAAAGTGGAATCTAAGAGCCTTCATGGAACAAAAGCTCCCCACTGCTTTTCTCTGATCTGTCACCACCTTCTTTTCTCAAAGCTAAGAGAACACTGAATAACAAACATGTGAATTTAGTTTCAGGGTTGTCTGTGACAGTTGCATGTTCATTCTGAATTCTTTTTGGAATTGGATATTTGAAACATACCATGCAAATAAATGAAACACAACACACACACACATACACTCCTTTCATTAAGAAAATTCATTTTCTTATCCCAGAGAATAATGTAACAAAATGCCTTTCACCAATTTATTAGCCCTGGATCTGTACTTCAATTAATAATACCAGGGCTGGACTCAGAGTACACAGGATTATCATGTTAGGTTTCTGAACATACTTTATTTTTGCACAGAGTTCACTCTAAGACAGCAATCTTGGAGGTGAAACTATAAGAATGGTTTCAGGACTGTCTAAGAGTTTAAGCTTGGTAGATCTCCTGCTAATTCTGGTTGTGACCTTTTTGAGCTGAGCTCTAATCTTGTGTATGATCTCTACAGTGGAAAAAATACTATTAGCAATGAGCCAGCCTATTAGCAAGGAGACTTGGATCCAAATGCTAGTCCTGCCATGTGGGTTTGGTCTCCACATTCCTAGTTATAAAATCAGAGTAGCATCTTATCCCACTAGAGAGCTAGGCTCTCAACACAAGTGATCTTTATCTTTGACCAAACCAGAAAACTTGTGAGCGCTATTCCAGCCCTTATGGTTTAGACAGCACAGACATGTCAACATGTACTGCAAGACGTGCTGCTTATTACTAAAACTGCCAACCACCAGTGCTGTGCTCCCTGTAAACAGTCAAGAGATATTAAGTGTTTGACACATCCCGGTAAACATTACTACAAATGATGAATTCATTCTGTTGATTATAGCAGTGACTTCTAACATTTTCTGGGTTCAGCTAAACCTTGTATCAGTAATTCTTAATATGAGCTAATTAAATAGAAAACTTATCTCTAAGTGACAGAGATTTCTTCTGGATTTATTTATCCTTGCCTTAAGCTAAGAGTTCCATAATAACTGCAGGCTCTTAGTCTTGGTATCATTGGTACTGATGTTACCCACCTAATTTACAGCCAGAAAGTTCAGGGCTCCAAAGCCCTTAGTTAGCCAGTGATTCCCAAGAGGAAGATGCTATTTCATGCATTGATCAACACTCCTTCAAGCAATGTGTCTCCTGGAAAAACTAAAAAGCAACTAAATTTTTATAAGTGAAATCATACTTGAAGAGGAGGTCAGAATGGTAAGGATTTTATAAAGAGTACTAAAATAAATTATTCACAACATGAAGGTTCCTTTTGAAATGCAAAATAGTTTCTATCCCTACTGTAGGGTTTTTTTTTTTTTTTTTTTTTTTTGGTAAGATCAAGTTGCTTTTTTTTCAAAGAACAGAACTCTGTATGTCCCTGAAAAGTCTGAGAATCTGCTTTTTCCTTTGACTAATATTACAAGTCCAGATATGTTTCATACTCGTTTTGAATTTAATCAGCAATAACTGCTTGCACTTGGGTTTTATTTCTAAATATTTTTTTTCTGGCCTCTTTGACAGGATGTATAAAATCTTAAAAATTTGGGGGGATCAGATGGCTTTATTATAAGACATTCTTCTGTGAATTTTGAACTTGTTTCAAAAGATTGAGAAAGTTTTGATGACTGAGTTTCATTAAGAACAGAGTCTAAGCAACCTTCATTCTTCCTCCTCCTCGCACTGTTCTCCAGAGAGTATTCACTACAGACTGCCTATTGTGGGTCCCAGGACAGCTGTCTTCCACGGACTGCTGTCAGACATCTACAAAACTCTTCAGGAGACTCAACTCTCTTCCTTGCCTGGAAAGAAACCACAGGGCACCACAGTGAAGCAGTGAGGGGTCAGACCTCCCATCTCTTGGCACTGATGTCCTCTCATCATTTCCTCTTAGCTCCAAAAAGATGACTCAGTTTGCCTTCCTAAGAGTTGCTGGTGTTGTAGCTCTTGTTACTTCCTCACTCATTTCTCCTAAAGTCAAAATATAATTTACATGATTGTAAGGATTGGTAGGTTTAAGTGAAACATGATGACTTACCTCTCATTTTATTTTCTTAAATTTTCATCTGTATTATAATAAATTTGATGTCCCTCTGTTTCTGAGATATGGATTTTAATGAAAGTTATCAGTACATCCTATTAAGAATAAAGGAGATGAAGAGAGATTGTGTTTCTGTCAGTTAACTGATACACGACAAAGATACAATACTGTGATGAAATAACTGGAAAATGGTAAGTGGTTAGTTGTTGCAGTCCTTGATCCCAGAAATTACACCTTGCCTTAGCCTCTTCCTTTCACTGCCCCTAGTGTGTTGTATGTATCAGTTGTTCAGCTGATCTTTGCTTCATCAAATCTATACCAAATCCATGCCAACTCTTTTACTGTTTGGTTACTCTGACTTTTATATATGCTTCTAGATCTATTCTGGTCCATCTCTTTGCAGTATCAGGGAGAAAAAAGAAAACTCCAGACTTGCAAAAATTATATTTATGAACATATATGCTCCTGTGCCCTGCTTCAAGAAGGGCCATTTCAAAAGGCCTCTTCTGCTCCAGAGAGCAGACTAAATAAATGCTGGACCAACAGGTGAGAATCAGCTCCTGCACTAACTGTACTTGCAGAACGAATTTCAGTAACCTCAAACAATGGCCTATGCTTAAACTGATTTCAATTCTTTCATAGAAGAAAATAAACAAACAAGAACATAACAACTTGCTTCACTGTCCTAAATCCTTGGTGTAGGCTATCATTCTTAGTTTTAGTTCAGTTGGAGTTCAAGAACTCTGAAAACAGTGCCTATGAGTTCTAATATCATTTTAGATAGATAGACATATCACAGATAATGTTCATTTGTTTTGTTTTTGTAATTGACTCACTGAAAGAATTTGGAGTACCTATACTCAGCATTTATAGAAATACATGACTCATTTACAGTTGCTTAGAGCTTTTAAAGTAATGTGAATATTATGTGGTTAGTGGCCAAAAATACTTCCTAAATTTCATTAATATGGCTTCATCTAGATACAAGGGTATTTCCAAAACCTAATAAAAAAGAACAATATCCTGGTGTTTGCTAATATCATGACAGAGTGTGCTATGGTTTGTACCTTAAATGTTTCCTACAGGCTGTATGTTAAAGGCTTAGCCACCAGCTTGTGGCATTGTGGGGAGATGGTAGAACCTTTCCGAGGTAGAAACGAGTGGGAGAAAGTTAGACCATGGAGTGGGAGCGCCCTTGCAGAGGATATTGGGACCACTGCCTCTACTTTCTTTCTCTCTGTTTGCTTCCTGACCACCACAAGGTAAGCAGCCTTCTCCACCATGCTTTCCGGCTACCATGATTTACTATCTCCTAACAGGTCCCAAAGCAACTGAACCAACTGTGGATTGAAACCTTGGAGATCATGAGCCAAACTAAACTTTTCCTCCATATAAGTTGTCTCAGGTATTTTGTGACAGTAATAAAAACTAACACAGAGGATGGTCTATATCAGTAGGGGTTATTTATTTATTTATTTTGTACCAGGGATTGAACTCATGACCTCATGCTTGCGAGGCAGGCACTTATGCCCTGAGCTAAATCTCCAGCCCTATGTCAGTAGTTTTTAAGTTTGGGGTTATAAGAACATTTTATACTCCTAAATATTGAGTGTCCTAAAGAACTTTTAAAAATTGATGTTGTATCTATTAATATTTACCATATTTGAAATTAAAATGGATAAATTTTGGAAACACATTAGCTGTCAGAATGACATTATCATGTAGCCTTTGGAAAATGCCACTCACTACATTTTGATGAGGAAAGTAACAAAGGCACTCACACACACACACACACACACACACACACACACACACACACACACTATAAGTTACAGACATCCCAGAAGGGTTTCAGCGATTCCCTGGGCTTCATGGACCACACTTAAGAATGTCTAGCTTACAGGATATACCGCTGCATTTCCAGCCTTCCGGGGATGGGAAGGTATCATGAAGCTTTCACTTGCACACAAGAGTAACCTTTAGTGAAGGGAATGGTAGGTTTTCAGAGTCTGATGCTCCTGAATTTTAGCATCGTTTATTCTCTTTGCTATCTCACAACTTCTATAATTCTTTTCTCAAATAATGTCCCAGTAAAAGGACAATGGGCTCACCAGTTGGCTTAATAAGAAGTCTAAGTTTCCATTGTGCTGTAAGGATCATTGATTCACTGTATCATCCCTCTTGGCCTAATCTTTTTTGTACTAAGTTGGACCATGTGATAATGTTGAACTTGACAGATTTTACCTACTTCATGTTCTTAAACTGCATCCAAAAATCTCCCCTAATGGGGTAGGGTAGTTTCTTCACTGTGAAAATATACTCATAATGTTATTCCTGGTTCAAGTTCACATATAATTGAAATGGATAATCTTGGGTAGATTTTTTTTTCAAGACAAATCCTCCTTTTTCCATTTTAAAAAAGTAGTAGAATAAAAGTCTACAGACTTGAGTCAGATGTATTTCTTTACCTTCATTCACTCCAACAGAGAATTAAAATGTTAACTGATATACATGATTCCTTTACTGCTGGAAGTGGACATTAATGAAGTATTTGAATAAGTCCATGCTGTAACTAAAAAAAGGAAAAACTCAATAGTTACATATACTCCTCAGTTTAATCTTGAGCAATCCAACAGACCTCTACCATCATATACCATGTGTTTTCCCTTGTCCCCGGCTATTATGGCTCAGGAAGGGTCTGTTAGGAGGTTGTTAGCTCCCTGGCCCCTTGATACTACACAGGTGCAGCTGCCCATCATGTTGAATATGTCTAGGGACTGCTTAACTCCACATATTCGAAGTATAAAAAGTCTTTTCTCCTAAATAATGGCGCCTGTAGAATGACTTATTTAGGTGCAGTTGTGCAGGTGGAGTAAGGCTTAGTGAGGAGAAGGACATTACCCAACAGATTTCCAAGAAGAGGAAGATTTTCATCAGTGGAAGATTTCTAGGAAGAAGAGGCATGGGCCTTCTTTCTGAAGATATATTTATAAACAAAATCCTTGGGAGTCACAGCTAAATTAGAAACTAGAAATGGGTGAAGCTAAACTAACCCCTAAAGAACACTGGGATAAGCACCCTATTTCAACCATGTTCCACTCAAGGGCATCTTAACTAGCATTTTACTGTGCCTGCTTCATACATCTGATGTGAAGTTTCTAAAAAAAAATGTAAAACTTAAGTGCCTGGCATGTACTTGAGAGACCATAGAATGAAGAAGAGTCCATGCCTAGTGTTATGGATTAAGAACTGGTGATCAGCTTAATGCCAGCTGGATTACATCAGCATGGCGCTGAGCATAGATGTCCCACCTGAGGAAAGTTTCCAGCATAAATAGAGACTTAGAGAAAGAAAAGCTTTGCATTGACGCATTGTGGGTTCTCCTATGAGTTGCTGTTGAGCCATTGGTTCTCCTGGAGAAGCTCTGGTCTTCACATAGAGTATTGCTTCCTAGCTCCGGAGGGGAAGACATGTGCCACTTGGTCTCCAGGATGAACTCATCACGCTGGCTTCCTGGCATGTATCTGACTGTTCTTGTCATTGTCAGAGCTCCGGGTCTCCCTGTCACTGAGGATGGTTGTGGTGCCTTTCAGACAGCCTTGGTCTTTGTTGTGTGACTTCTCAGCTCCAGCGTAGAACCCTCATCCCACCAGCACAGCTCCTTCACCCTGCTCACATGAACTTTCTGGCTTCAACTGCTGACCTTTGGGCCTTTCCAGCACAGACCTGTAAAGAGACTGGCATGAGTCCTTCTTGTTGGCTCTGGACTTCCAGTTGGATGCATGGGATGTATTGTCATGAGCTCTGGGTTTTCATGTGGGACTTTGCTGTGGGATTTAGGCCCTTGACTAAATATTCTATGTCTTTAGTGTTACAGATAGATTTCCTGCATTTTTTTGTGCTAACTCCTAGTGACCATTATAAAAATAATAATATAAACTCCATGTCCTGATTCTAGTTGTTCTCCACACAACCCCTGACTACAACACCTAGGCTAACAATAAATTGGAACTAGATCTCTGAATTTGGGTCTGTGAAGCCTCAAGGAGTTTTTTTTGCATTTAGCTAAGTTATTATTTCATTTGAAAGATAGAGACAGAGACAGAGACAGACAGAGAACTAGGCATAAGTTACAAACTGAACACTCAGGTTGCAGCAATAACACTTTACATATCACCAACAGTCCAACTCACTGCACAAGAACAGTGAAGCAATTGTGTGACCTTTTCAGGAAAGGTGGTCAGAAAGGAGATAGCCATATTTACCCACACAGGATGTTATATCTTGTTCTTTGCAGTCTTTGGCAAGACATTTAACCGTCTGGCCAGTGAGGTGAGAAAAGTGAGCACAGACCGGTGCCTGCTGCTTCAAGGAAAAATTATTCCCAAACCTCTTGATATCATCTTCAACTTAGTCCCATATATAGTGATCAACCTGAAGGAATGTCACATAGACAGAAAACCAAAAAATGTGCGCTTCCTAGATTCTCACCAACGCATGGAATGGAGTACTTGGAGGACAAAAATTGGCAGAAAGAGAAATTTGCAAAGTATACCCTTATTTGCTTTTTGAGCTTTGAATCACTTCAAGAATTCAAAAAAGAAAGATGAAAGAAGAAAAAAAGAGGAAAGAAAAACACGAAAACAAATTTAAAAAAAACCCTTTTAATATTGCCAGGGAGCTAATCTAGCTTTGGAACTGGAAATGCAATAAAATATCAGTTTGTTTGTCTTCCTGACACTCACATGACATAGTATTTAAAAACTACAAAATTCAGGCAAGTAACCAATTTAAGGAATAAATCTCATCTTTTGTCTGTGGCAGTTTTTTGACACTGAAATGCTGGTGACAAATGTTTGGTGCTTATTTTGCACTTTTTCAAACACTTTCACTTATTTTCCTCTCTCTCTCTGCTTCAGATGTACCATTGTTCTACAGCCAGAGCAGCAATGCTTCACATGATGCTGTCCTTTTAACAAATGCGACCCTTCCCTAAGATACGTGTACAAAAATTCATTTTATTTAAATAATTGCATCTGTAGCTTTTGTATGGAGCAGAATAGCACCTCTTAGACAAAATCCTTGATGAGGATGAAGGCAGGGCCCTCTCCTGTCCT